AGACATGAAGGTGTCATTCATCAGTACATGAATGTATCATCTTCCTATACATACCTGCTTTCTCCCACTGGAAGCTCCTCCTCATCAAGAGGCTCATGGTGAGATAATTCATTCTCTTAGCCATGGATTTCTGAAAGCTCTGGGGATGAAATGTGAATCATCATGTTTCCTGCTTTGGAGAGATATCACCCTGGCAACCAGTGATTTCCTTTGTGGGTGATTTCTCCTGGATGAATAAGGACTTGGAACTTTGGTCCTGCCAGCACCTGGCTCCACCTGACTTCATCCTCTTTCTTCCACTGCTATCTTCCCCTACCTATTGTCAGCCCTCTGGCTGGAGTGGCCCCACTGCACTATAACCACCTTGGCTTCTTCTGCCAAGGGACTGGGCCAGTTTGCCAGGGAGCAGCAATGGACAGAGAGTGGATGTCCTTCTGTATGCATTGGACAGTGTCCAGAGAGCATTGTTCATAGGGATGCCTTAACGCTTGATCTGGATCCTACTGCTAAATGCAGGTGTCAGGGGCTGGGAACTTGAGATTCCCAAGCCAGACACCTGGAAATGCTACGCAATGAACTGTTTCTGGAACTGAAGGCAGATTTTAGGATTTGTGTGGTGGCTTTGGACTAGTGCAGCTGCAGAGACATGGGATGTATGTGTTCATAACCCTTTTGATGAAGGGGTATGGACTACTACCCATCAGTGGAGCTGGTGTTGGTATGATGGGTATGACTGCAGATGGGTGTAAGTCTGTATGTACATTGTGGATCTGGTGGTATAGATCCCTGCCTCAGTGGGTGGCTGCTGTGATTGAGCTGCAAAAAGGAGCTATGAACTGTGGCACATCCCTATATGTGCAACAGGCAGGGACAAAAAAAGCTACTAGTCATAGGCCCCAGGTGTAAGTCTGGCAGCCAAAAATACATTTACCAGAAAGCTGGATATATAGGAAATTCTGCTAGCATGGCCTCAAAACTGCATTACATTCCAAACCCGCAGCAGTCCTGCTGGAATGGAAGCCTGGCTTCTGTTTCTTGCCCACTTCCAGATCATGAATCAACAACTCTTAACATTTGTCTCTTTGCAAGCCACTAGTACTTGAATCTGTCATCAGTATAAGATTCCCACAGTGCTCATGTAGACACCATAGCAGACCACACAACACTCTAGAACCAGAACTTGTAAAGGTAAATGATTCCATTCAAACTATTTGATATCCATTCACTGTTACTAAAAGTATTTTCTAATGGTTACATTTTTCTAGCAAAACACAATTTTTTCTTTCTTTTTTAAGGAAAGAAAATGCTTCTGCTATGTGCAACAGTCTGTCAGTTCCCTGGGAAATGCAGCTGAAAAAAAAGGACTGCTAAAATATGTTATGTATCTATATATGCATGTATATATATGTAGGTTTAGGGCTCAAAATCTCCTGAAACAGCACTCATAAAGAATAAAAGCATGTGTATTGTATTTCTAATTTGGAGTAAATGAGGAACTTTCACAAACTTATCATCAACATTTATCATATTATTCTTTGATAAACTCCTCTTTTGAACTTTCTTCTTTTCCTCGATTACAAGTTGACCTACAGTGACTGAGATAAACTTTAAAGTTAGAATTTAAAACTACAGGAAGCTGCATTTTGCTTTCACAGTCCTCAGTGTGTAATCAGGAAGTTTCAGGAATCAATACGCTTTTACTGTACTTTACAGGTGAAATTATATTGTTAGCTAGGGGGCAGGATATGGCAGAATTCCTGCAGTATTTGAAGTTCTGGAAAGGTGAATCTTCCTGGTGCTTAGTACTCTCGGGGTGTTTTTAATCTAAATTTCTGTATTTTTTTTACATACATATCAGTTTCCATCATTAGCCTCAAGTCCTCCAGTGTCCTTTCACCTGAAATTTTATGTTATTTGTTAGCAAAATCAAATCTTAGTTTCTGTCTTACTGACAGCCTTCTGGTTCACTGCCATTGCCAACCTCTTCCATTATTTGTAATGTCTCATATCCAACATCTGAATTCCAGTCAGAATATTTTGATACTATTGGATTATCACACTTGTCAAACTGCATCTTGATGCCTTCCACTTACGTATCTTCCCTAAGGCAAGTTTTTGTTGCTTTCTTCGAATTAGAGGAATTTGGGTGGAATTTCCATCTGAACTGTTTTTAACTATAGACAGACTTGAAAGTTTACTGCATTATAGGCCTGATCAAGATTTTAGTGAATGTAAAGATTCATGTTGGCTACACAGGACAACCCAGCAAAAGGAAAAATTAAGCTCAGGCTGCGATGTTGGGATCTGAACGCACCAGCAAATCATCTTTCAGATGACAACTGTGTTAGACCCAACTCTGAAACACAAACAAGAAATAAGCACAGCCAGTCATAACATTCTTTTCTCTGTGCATGGGAAAGTCTGTACTGTAACACAGTCACCCAACTACATTCTTCTGCTAATGAAAATACACACTCATATGAACTCATCAGTTTATACTTGAAAAGAAGGGGGTTGCATGTTTTACAATATCGTACATGTTTTTACAGTGGTGCATTTTTTTCTAATCACACAATTACAAGCAAATGAATAAACAGAACATCTTTTGTTCTTGAAAAGCTTGTCAGCTTTGAAAACTAATGCATGCATGACTTTTATTATATTATCATCTTGGTCTAGGATGAGGCATCCCTGCCCATGGCAGAGGGGTTGGAACTAGGTGATCTTAAGCTTTTCCAACCATAACTATTCTATGATTCAATGATTCCATGGACTAGTGTATTTGTTACCAGTATTTGTATGGATAAACAGCACCCCTGAATAACCAGAGGCACATGTGTGTGTTTGTATAATGCTAGGTTACATATACACAAAGAAAGTACCCTAAGGATTTTCCCCTATGATCAGACAGTCAGATTCAGTGGTGATACACTAGGAAAATGTATATATAGTTATTTATATGCTTATTGGGCAAGTATTAATAAAAAAAAGTTCAGCTATTCCCACTCCCAAAAAATCCACTGAATTCCAAACCAGCGTGTGCTGCTCAGTGACTATGTCTATGTTGGCAAGCACCGCACAGTACAGAAGATGTGTAGAGTTAAACAGTTGGTGCTCAGGATCCGAGGTCCATAAAAAAATGCATTTCAGGTGTTCTTTACCTCTGGTGTGATTGCAGGGATTGAGGGTCCATTTGTGGCTGCAGTACTCTCCTGGAGCACATCCAGAAGGAACCCAGACAATGTACTCCAAGACCAAGGCACTGCAAAACAGAGACCATTGGGAGACTTATGTCAAAAGTCCACTTCTGATCCAAATTAAAATGCCAGTGTGAATGCACCCTATGTGAACTCATACAGAAGCAGGTTCTAATCCTACCCCTTTATGAACTCTCTTTCCACAGACCTTCTGGAAGCTGTTGGCGATGCACCCCCTCAGATGTGTTGGCTTCATGCACTGATCAAATCAGTTACTGGAGCCCTTCACAAGCTCACAATCTAAGACACTTTATTCACACACTCTGGTTTAAGCTCCCCCTGCAAAACAAATTTGAGGGGGAAATGTAATGTTTAAAAAGTAAAGAACTAGTGTTAATTTTTTGTTTGTTTTTTCTCAAGACAAAAGATCAAGAAAGCTGGAAGTTGGTTGTCAAAATGCAAAATAAATCTACAGTTGCGGAAGTTAGAAATGGCAATAGTTTCTACTAACTACACTGAGTGTATTTCTGAGGTTCTTACCGACTGCTCATGATGCACTCTAAAACTTTGTTCACCCTAGCCCTTTTATGATATTCTCTGGGCAGAGACACTTTCATCTGTGTCCTTGAGATTTTCACTATCACTGGATCAATATTAGCTATAAATGTTTCTTTAGGAGAAGAAGACTTGGAAGCATTTTAAGCTTAACAGAGTCTGTTCGGGCTGAATGGATGATCTGATGTTTGTGTGCAATGCTTCTCTTTTCTGTCAAAGGACTGCAACTTAATAACCTATAGACAGCAGTCAACAGGAATGATTTATTAATGTTTTCAGAGAGAGTCAGCTTAATGAATACAAACACCACAGCCATGCAGGTGACTTGGCGTCTCCCTGCCTACTTTCAAAAAGGGGAAATAAGGCTTTAGATAGAAGAAATGGATGATTGAGCTCCTTCAGAAACTTAAAAACAGAAAAGCTTTCCGATAGTCTATAGCTCATCAGATTCATATTTGGTTCATTGTACAATGCAAACACGTTGTCCTGGCAAATAACTAACGGGTATCTCTTCCTAGTCGAGCTCAATGACATATTTCTTCCAGGCAAGAACTATTCTTTTAAAAGTTCTGTGATTTTTGTGTCCATCTTTACAACACTAAATCAAAACTATGTAAGGTGAAGAGGCATCTAAACACATCAAACTGCTTGATCTCAAATGACACGGATGTGTGGAAATGTACTATCCTCAGCCACTAGCACATCCATGTGAAGTGCCTGACACAGCTTGCATTCAGTGTGAATTACAGCTACTAAACAGTGATGTTTCTCATGCCTCTCTAGAGATGGAGAGAGCAGCTTTTCAAAGGCACAAATAACAAATGCTGAAATCAGTGTGAATTAGATGCTAAAGCTTCCATCTGTGTCATTCCATATATTCACTGCCCATATGCTAGTTTGAGTGCAGTACTGAAGGGACGGTGCAGGTATTTACATGCTGGCAGCTAAGACTCAATTACACTGTAAGATGTATGTGCTGCACATTTCTATCACCTTTCTTCCTATCACTGATCAAAACATAATAGACTTGATTCAACTTCATTAAACAATTGCCAATCACCACTGTACTTACTTCTCCTAGTGACAGTTCACCATAACAGAATGAATAATTCTCCCCCAGAATAAGGCTGAGATAACTAAGAGCCAAGAAAATCCAACCAAGTTGTCATTGTTCAAAAGATACCAGGTAGCCATCACTGCTGCTTCCATTAAAAGACATTTTAGTTTGTGTTTATTTTTTTCTTTCAGATATGAAGAGTTCATGGAATCCCTTCACTTTTGCAAGCTTTCCTGGGGAGCAATTCCCATATTGCCACAGGACAACAGGGCAAAGGATAAGCCTCCATGGACTTTGTTAAAGAACATGGTAGCCTTATGATAGTGGTGTAGACCCTTGGCCAAGGTCTTCTCACAGTCAGAATGTTTAAGTCAAGTGTTTTTAACAAGAACAGCAACTGACAGCTAGCAGGTTAGACCGAGATGTGCAAACATCTGCGTTCCAAAAATGGGCAATTTAGGAATCTACTCTTTCCACAATTCCCAAAATATTAATGGGGAGATATACTAGTACCCACAAATCTTTACACGGTATTTTGCTGAAACACTCTGCACTTTGCAGAGACACTGCTCCAAAAGATGTCAAATCTTTTGGATTTCATTAGTATTACTTAGCAAGCCAAGCCATCCAATGCATCAAACACGAAAGCAGTGAAAAGTACAAGCACAGTAGTCAAACTAGGCAAAGGCTGAGCATTTCCAGGTTAGTATGTTTTCATTTTAATGCTGGAAGGAGAATTTGTGTCATGGCAATCTTACGCATACATTGATCACCCCAGAACAGAATTCAGACCTCTTAAATCCCTGAATTTGGCTCTAAAGTGAGCGCTGCTGCACCATAGAAGCACCCTCCTGTGCCACTGTCATAGGGGAGTACCCTCAGCACCAGCTGTCCTGCCAGAAGGGTGCAGGGCACCTGGCGTCTGGGATGGAAGTCAGGTGCTACCATGGTGTGATGGGGCAGAGAAGGAAGGAAGGGAGTCTCAGTGAGTTTAGTTTAACATGGAGGTGCTCAGCACTTCTGAACACAGCCTGGCACAACAGCTGGAAGACTGACCTCTGCATTGCTCAACTGACAGCACCGTGGCACAGAAGCACACATTATGCTAGACTGTGTTAATATGGGGAAGTCCTTAAAGAGGAAGGGAAGAATAGCCATTCTGAACTTGCGGTTATACCTGGAATATTATGAGCATATTCCTGTTGGATTGCTCTAAAACCCCCAAGATTTCGGAGCTCGCAATCCAGACATGAAAGTCAAAAAAAACCTTCTGGTTCAGCATCATTTCTCTCCCATTCTTGCAACCAGCATCTTTTCTTCATCCATGCAGTGAAGGCCACACATTTCTTTCAGCAACAGACACTTGATTACATGCTTTGGGTGAAGCTTGGCTTTAGCAAGGCCAGGTCAGACCAGGAAAATCCTACTGGTCATGACTGATTTTTCCAACTGCATTTCCTTCATTTTGACACTCCCATTTGCTCTCTTCTGTTGTGTTGGTCTTTGGGGTTGTTCTGGTTTGTTTTTTTTTTTTAACCTGATGTCCCATACTAACAACTGCTTTCTTTCCATGATTTAAACTCAAAGACATATTTGGTGCCATCTGCTCTTTAGATTGTGTTCAGTGAAAAGCACCATGCCGTTTGGCTGGATTTGGCATCAGAAAGAGCTGAAAGTGATCCTTGTAAAGGAGGAATAACTCCTCACAGAGCCAGAAGTTGGAACACGCATCCATTTGAGGCATTCCCACAGCTCCTACTGAGTGTTAGGTGTGCATGGGGTGCGGCTGTAAGGGCCAGGCTTTCACAGGGGGAAATTATCTCAGGAACTTTGGATTCAGGCACCTCTCAAGATCCAGTCCTGCATGACTTAGAGTTTGAAACCCAGGACACACTTCCACACACCTATGAGTTTTGATATTAAGGGTTATCTGAGAAATCAAGACAAAAACATATCAATTCATTTATAAGCAAATAGTGCATAAGCTTTATACATTTATACTTTCTTTTTGCACAGAGGCCTTACCACTGAGCAACACTGTCACTCAGCAGAATAAAAGCTACATGCATAATGAATGGTGAACTATATGTTTAAACTGTGCGTTAACCAGATTGTGAATTTAGTGAATATAACAGCAAACTGAACATTCATTCCACTCTGGTGACAGTACACAGATGTGATATGAAGTGCAGATACCATATGAAATCTGAAGGGCCATGTTCTCCAAAAACGGATCAGTAACAAAGCAGAGCAAACACAGTTGGGAAGGAAATTCAGGGTATGGCATTGTGACCCTCCAGTTTAGTGTCTCTTCAGCAAGGGTCTCTGAGTTTGCTCTGCAGGTTGTCCATACTTACCAACTAGGACAATATTAGCCTTTCCACTAGTTTAACTGGGTTTAACTAAAAAAGTTAACTGGTTTTAACCAGTTTTTTTTTTTTAACTGTTTTTAAACTCAAAAAGTTTAACTGGTTTTAACGCAAAAATATTAGCCTTTCCACTAGTTAGAGTTCAGGTCAAACTGAAGCAACTAAAGTAACCACAGCACCATGTGCATTTCAGACCATGTTCTCTGGTGTGTGTATATATACAGAGAGATGTATTTTTGGAGGAGGTTTGGCAAGGAATATTTTCCTCACTGCTGCTGTTTTAAGAGATACCAGGTTGCGAATTTGGGTGCTGCTGCAATTCTGCAATTCAACATTTTGCCACTTGATGTCACCAGTAAAATGCTTAAATTCGATGAAACTACCGAGATTTTAGATTGAGGTAATTTTAACGTGTAAAGGTAAATTTTCAGAAGCAGAAAATGAACCAGTTATACCTCCCATATTAACAGTAGAGCATATTAGAAGCTCGAAAATAATTTTGCAACGAATTCTCAGTTATCTTTGCAATAACGATGAGGCACATTGACCCCATTGCTCTCCTTTCAGCCCCTCAGCATGCAAAGTACCTGTTCCCCATCCTGTGTAAACGCAGGCACCCTAGAAAAGCAGGAGAGCTAACGATAAACAGGCTGCAGAAGGTGCACAAGGAAACCTGTGACCCTGCTCTTTGTAATCCACTGCTTTTTGCAGGCTTCTCTCTCTATTACCTCATTACAGCATGTAACACAAGCAGAAATGACTTACCTATCAGTGTGTACAAGCCAAAACTCCTTTGTGCTGGGACAGCTGAGGCCTTTGACCAGCATCACACCTGAGAAGCACTAGATGCACTCACTGTGCTGCTTCTGCAGAATTTGATTACATGCTATAAGGAAGTAGCAAGTTTCCCTGCAAGTTTCTTCCCACAAGTTTCCTATGAGATAAGTGACAAGAACTGTCACATGCAGTTTTGTAAGATAATGGAGCACTTTTAAAGCTGTTTTAAAACCAACATCCATGCAAATTGAGCACTCTCCTGTTGCAGAGTCAAGCTGGGTGGTTCCGTTTTGCTACTTACTTGATCCTCAAGAAAACTCCATTGACTGCAATGGGATGATGGAACAATTTGATCCACTGGAACTTGCTAGTGGAGTATTCTCATATGTGACTTTTATATTAGCACCCCTGAAAGAGCAGAAATACGGACAAATTGGAGAGTAAAATTAAAACGCTCTGTGCATGGCTAGGAGGCCTTCTGTGTTTTCAGTTGTGCCTAGGCTGGCCAACCTCAGATGCACCTTGGTTAAGGATGCTCTGGGACTCATTCGTTTCATAGCAAGAGCATTTCTTGTGCCAGCTGCTCAGTAGAACAGATCATCCATGCACACAGGGCAAGGTAAAGATCACAGCACCTTTCTGGATATCTGCTTCCTTCAGAGGAAGCCAGCAGGGACTGCTGTGACCCTATGCCAGTGTGCTGCTAGCTGTATAAGGAGGAAGGAACTTTTACACAGGAGCAGATCAAACTGTGTCCCTGAACATGCTGAAAAGTACATGATCTTGGACTCTGGTTGTTTGATCAACAGCACACACATTATTTTGCACTCACAACTTAACTTAAAACGTGCCAGGTATCTAAAAATATTTTATGGTCTATGCTTTGTCCTAGTTTGAGTGTTTTCCGCTTCTATAAGGTTGTATATTCCTGATCTTTGAAAGACTTTTAAATTTAAGGAAAGAATATACGCTTTAAATCAAAAAGTGAAACACACACATGCAAAAACCCACCCTTCTATGTTCATAGTCCAAGGACTTTCAGAGCAAATAAGCCTTCCTGCTGCCAGGGACTAGTAAGTGGTGACAGCCACATGAAACCTGTCCTGAAAAATACCCTCCGAGTGGTGCTCTGCAGTCCTACCTGGGAGCTATTAACACTCAGTTTATTCACCTTACAGCCTGTGAGGGCTCCTTCGAGCCATTACTGTCTTTTGTGGGAAATGAATTTGCAATAACTGTGTACGCTTTCATGGAACAACTATGCCTCTGCCTTAAGTAAGCACGCTATGTATCCTTGTGCAGTTTTGCACTAGAATGAATCACTGGCTTTGTGCAGATATGCTTTTAAAGTGCTTTAGCAGTGGGCCACATACATATGACCTCCCAGTTAAAGGTACTGGAGGAAAGTAGTTGCTTCCTGTCTTCTAAAGGTATAATGAGTCCTCAAGCTCACATCAGTGACTGCAAAAATCATGAAAGGCCTTGAAAAACACCCTTCAGCCCTAGAACTCTAGTTATACACACACACACCACACCAGGCTAGAGCATTTGCAGCTATTCTTCCATGGACAAGTCACACCAATGAGGTTTTCAGTGGGTGTAATGACAGCACAGAATGAATGAAAACTGGCTTTTTTCCATTCAGGTTTTAATCTGCTTTCACTGGTTATCATATCACACAGCACTTACATTCCTCTGGCTGTCCTCCAGCTTCTCAGCCTCTGGTTGGTCTCTGACCTACAGCTCCCTGATGAAGCAGGTTTTAAGGTTAAGCACAGTAAGTGATTCCCTCCCTTTGCAAGACGGCTGCAGAGAAAGCCAATTTACTAATGTGAAATGTTTTATTCTCCAGCCATAATTTCATTCCCGTTAAAATCTGCAAGTCTGATACATCTTATTCTCTTCATAATTTACTGAGTAGGTGGGAAATTAACAGGAAAGAGACACAGAAAAGTACTCTGACCTGATCTAGAAAAGAAGATGAAGGTCATGAGGCTCCCCACACTGCATCCCTTTCAGGCCAACACCACACTTGAGAGAAGAAAAAGTTCAGAGGCTCTTACCATGTGTCAGAGAGAAGAAAAATAGTGGTAAGTGGGAGCCTCTCACAAAGTTCATACAGGTTCCAGTGTGTCTTTTATTACCGTTTCTGGGCAAGTGTGTCTCTGCACCTCGTGCTCCGCACTACATCCAGAGGGGAGATGCAGAGCTACTGCAGGCAAAGCCAGTGTCTCCATAGGATACTCTCACATGAAACTGGTTTATATCTGTTTTATCTAAAATAGGTTTTGAAGAGTGCCCGCAGTGCACTCATTACTGAGGAAATGGGATGGTGACCATCTGGACCACTCCCTGGATTTGTATGAAGATAAAACCCCTTTGAAAATGCAAAGCTTTGCTGGCTCTTACAACATGAGCTCACAAAGCTCCTGTAAATCATGGAAGAGCCATGAAAATGCATGTTCATCCTTATTTTATTGCTGCCTTAAATTTGGATGTTATAATGAAAAGCGCTCTATAAAGACACTTAAGTGTTTCTGCCATGCCAGACCACAAAGCAGATGTGACTGTCCTTATTTATACCTATTTGTATCAGGAACAATGTGCTCAATGAATGCAGTGAAGAATGTGTCAATTCACATTGTAACACGGTGTGAATAGAAATGGAAACTGAAAATACTTATGTTTCTTTTCAATTCACATTGTGTTACTCTAATAACTGTAATATTTGCATTGTAATTGTAATATTTAACACAATGTGAATTGAAAAGAAACAGTAAATGTTTGCAGCACCAGTAGACCTACGGCACCAATTCTAACTGTAGACATAGAAGCACAATTAAAAGTATCTCTGGAATAAACTTTTAAGGATTGCTGTTCCGTAAGTATGGCTCTGTCTGTAAAAGCTTTCCATTTCCAAGACAGACACAAAGTTTGAATCAGAAGTACCGGGTTGTTATAAATGTCACAATGTACAAATGGTTGTCAGAATCCAACACTTTGTTTAAGCCGTGTTATCTTCATAGCATCACACATTAAAAGTAGATCTTTTGTTCAGCTCAGCTGAGGTGTGAGTTATGCTGGCAGGGTAATTTGTGAGATATCACACCTTATGTTGATTGCACTGAGTCCCATAGCATCCCACCAGAGATTTCACAATGAAACGCATGATGTCTGTATGTTGTATCAGTACGTATGAACAAAACTGATCTGGCACTTAAACTTCAAAGTTTATTTTCAAAACACCCACATCAGTATGGTAAGAACTAAGCAAGGAGAAGAATTCTTCTTTGCAACTGTGCAACACCTACTTTTGTGGAGGATAATTAAGTGATGGAGTGGCCAAGCTGCAGCTCTTGAGTCACAGATTACCTGGAAGAGAGCTTAGACGCAGCTCCTGTGCCACAGCTATTAATCATTAGCCAGGCTATGGAGTAACCCCCAGATGTGGAAGCAGAACCCACAGGAACTGCTGAGGCTGAAATGATTGAGTCCCATGGGGCCTATTAATATCCCATATGGTTCTGTATTCAAACTGGGCAAGGGCAGGGGCCCTGAGAAGTTATCACCATCTCCTGCTTGGGAATGCATCTGGACATCCCTCTCCTCACTGAGAAACAGAAGATTTCTTTTTCTTTAGCAATATGAAGATTTTGGTATATGGCCTGAAGAATCAAGAAATTTTGTGTGATCACAGGGCAAACAGAAAAGCCTACTCTCCTACCCATACACGGTAATGAACCTTTCAAGCAAGGCCTTGTAAGTAAGCCTTTCTCATGAAATACATAAGATTTTGGAGCTCCAAACGAACCACTGAGATTAGTGCAGTACGAATACACTGTTAGTTCAGGGTCTTTTTAACTTTTTTTCACTATGCCACAAAGAACCATTAAGCTAATTAATTATTGTTTTAATCTTAGATATTTTTCTGACTTGGCACAATTGCCAAAAGACTCTGAGCTAGACTTGGTGATGAAATTCTTGCCCTTTAAAGTTAGTGCTTTCTTCTGATTGCCTCTCTTCGAATTTATTTGAAGCATAAAATAATTCAGCAGCATGGCATGGATACGTATTTTCTCTGCAAGTATAAACAGGAGTCTTTTTGTTTTGCATTACTGATAAAAGGATATATTTTTACTAATAGCACATATCATTGTTAATTAACATAGAGCTTATTACACAAAAGTGAAAGAGGCTAGATTCTTTTTCCTTTCTCCTTTTAAAAATACATTCTGCACATCACTTGTTCCCAGTGTCTTTTCAGACTTTGGCACCTGGCAACACAAAACATTCCTGATGTAATGAGTGGTATCAGTAAGAATATTGGCTGCACTGCTTACATTTTGATTTGTCCCTAACGTATACTGATTACAGTGATTCAGATAAAGTGTGGGAGGTACAAATGAACACAGGTCACTAGGTAACTTATTCTTCCCTAATTTAGACCAGGCAGTTTAGCTAAGGAAGCACATTTCACATACATCTTACTGTCCCTTAAGAAAATAAAAAGGCAAGTTGTTCTTCTTATGGCCATAATCGCACAGTGTAGGCTCCTTGGCAATAAGCAGCATCAATGCAACTAGGCAAAAATACCTCTCTCAAGAAGCAGTTTAGCAGTACTTGCCTAGCATACCTGCTCTCCTAACCAATTCTGATCTTGCTGACTTGCCTATGGGCTAATTGGGTTTTCTTGGCTGTGTTGTTCATGGCCTCTTTACCTAATGGGAGTTAAAGGGCTTGGGAGCATCTACCAAGCACAGCTAACGGATCAAGAGCATGCATAACGCAGATTTATGAGAGAGAAGCCTCTGAAAAGCCCAGTTTGGTAATCTTGTTATGCCATGATCCACAGCCTCAGGACACCAATGTATTCGGCTCCTGTATAAGGTTGTGACTTTGTTTTATCCAGCCAGTGGGGAAACGTGTTTGTTTTCAGTAAGCTGCTGCATGCAGCTCTGGTAAAGCGTAGAAGAATCCAAACGGGGTGCTAAGCTCTCTTACTGGAGTAAACTAATGCTTTCATTTTCTTCAGAAGATTTCAGGATTCCCTGATTTTAATAAGTTTTTTTAATCATTCCATCATGAAAAATTGAAAGCTGAAAAGAACAGCTACAGGAACATGGGCACTCCATGAAATCCTGGTTCTCAGTACCACATAAAATTCCCCATTTTAGCTTCATCCTCCTTCCTCCCAGGGAAAAACAAACATGTCTTCTTTGAGGCAAATTTTGATTTCACAAGCACAAATTCAGTTACTATTAATCAGATATGAATCAGAAGTCCGTATTCTCCTTCCCTCAAGCCACATGGAAGTAAATGTGAATTGGTATGACTGATTCTGTACAAAAGCTGCAAAGGAATTATCATTGTGAATTCTTTGCAGCTAAGCAAGAGGATTAAAGAACTAAGATGTCACCTTTCTGATTCTCACATCTCTCCCAGTTCTTACAGTGTTATATTTAATGTTAAAATCTGAAATGCAAAATAAGGAAATTATCTTTCTTCCTGTTCTTCTTCCTGACAACTCAAACCAACCCAGTTTCCTACTTCTCATCCCTATCAGACACACAGCTCTAGATACACCATGTTCCCAAACTCCAGATCACCTGAGGATTGTGACACTGGGATCGATGCAAGCAGTCATCAGCTTTTGCATCCCAAAATCCCTACCAAGGCCAACGATGTGGTTGTTCTGAGGAAGACCAGAGGCAAGACAGCAGTCTTGTGGCTTACCATGTATTCCTGAAACCTAATTAGAAACACTACTGAACTCCTGACTCTCCTCTACTGCAGCTTAACAGAGCCAAAATCTTAATGTAACAGTGGTCAAGCTAAGCATTATGGCTTAAATTAGATCTCTCTGTGTTGATAGTTGCAGTCCCCATGAGGATATCTTCAGCACTGAAAATGATGAATAAACCCAACTCATGTGACCACCTTGTAGCCTCAGAAGCCAACAGAGCTACTAACATTGCTCCTAATCTCCACAAAAGCAAGATGGATTATTTAGTGTATCTGATCTCTTCTGTCAGAGAAAATCATTCTCCACAATCCAAAACACTGAAAGAGAAAGGAAAAATTGCATCAGCAGGATCAAACACGAGCAATTTTGTGGCCTAAGTCATGGCTGCCTTACCTGTGCTGCGGACAAGAGATAGTCCCGAAATTGCAGCCAAATATTTTAATATACTTTATTATTACACACATGGTAGAACAAGGTCCAGGGAGAAAAAACAGCTCATCCCTTACGAAGACTGAGATGAAACCCTAGACATCCATTATTTACAGAACACCATGTAAGCCATCACGACACGTCTGGGTTTAACCGCAGCAGCATTTTACCCTCAAAGTGTTTTGCATAATATACTGGAGGAGAAGGGAATGAAATATTTGTTCTTATTCTGCTTTTCCCTGGAGTCATTTTACGACGTTGGGATTTTGACAGGTGCTTAATTTTGGAAGACTTCAAAGATCACCTGCATGAACCGATGAGGAGTCCTTGGCAGCTGCTGACAACTCAGGGTTATGGGGAATTTACACTGGAGAAAGCCAGCAAGCACCTCCGTGTGCCATGGCAGGGTTTGCCAGGAAGGGTTTGGCAATAACTCTGTGAAACAGAAAAAGCATACACTGGCATGGATAAGAAGCTTTTCACCAGAGTAAAAGCTTAGAGTGTTAAGTAAGAGGCCAATTCGCACTCATTAGCTGCCATTCCTTAGTCATCACCACAGTGCTGTACAGTTATGTATGTAATCAGGTACAGAAGCCCTGTTTCATGGAGCATTTGTCCATTCAAACTTAAAATCTTTCCACAGAATTTGTCATGCTAGGAGTGGTCATTTTTTAGTCAATTTTCATTTATCATTGGTCAGTTTAAGAAACACAAATCATGTGTGGAGGTGGACTTACAAAGCCTATTTCTGCACAACAGGGGGATCATCAGAGGCCAAGACCTATTTCCAGCAAAGCTTAGCAGGTTCAGAAGTACTAGGCTGAGGCTGAAGTGCTACCACTGGCACCTAGAAAACACATCAACTTCATTTGCTGTTCCCTTCATACAGTTTGGTTTCTTCTGACACCAGGACACCCCAGCTTTCAGTGACCAAAGAGAAACCTCTGGTCAGGTACAGATAACCCAGGCCACACTCAGGTGACCTTTACCAGTGGGAGGTTGTATTTAAAAGCTTTGCAACTATTCTACATCTCAGCTTTACAAAACTCAAGTGTAGCTATTATGTAGTTAATACAGCACTATTGTGAGGTAAATAGGGAAACTGAGGCAGAAAGCCTGGGAAAAAAAAAGCAGTGATAGACCCAGGGTCAGAAATTAAGCTCTTCCAAGTATGCAGTTCAGTTTCATTTTTCTAGTGCATCTAGTAGCACTCGGTTATTCCTCTGATGGTGACACGATGAGCTCAGAGCCAGCTTTACAGTTCCTCAAGCTCTACTGTTTATTGCTGCTCTTTGTAAAAATCACACACAGAAAATACAAGAAGAAACTTCCCTGCTGGTATGTGAATCACTCCAGAGCTCATGGAATTGGCCATGGACAGATGGCCTTCTGCAGAGGCAGCTTTATCTGGTATAAGAGCCAGCCCACAGCTGCTTGTCACCACCTCTCTGCCTGAGAGAACTCACCGTGCAGATCTGGTGATGCAGATAAACCCATTGGGTGCTTCTGAAAAGACGGCTGGGTTAATTTATGCTGATTAAATGGGTGATTTAATCTAACCCTGCTGATTTTGTGAAGATGAATCCTGTCTGCAGATCCATGAGGTCAGTGTCCCAAGGTAGAAGAGACATCAACAGCAGCTCACAGAAAGAACCTCTTCCACCAGCACAGACATCTTTTTAGTGAGCATACAACTGCAGCTTAAAATGCAGATCCATCTGTCATGCTGATCAATGATGTCCTATTAGAGCATGTTAACTATTTCTCCATAGGTAATCCATGAATCCATAAAGTTGTCAGTACTTGCTCTGAATCTAAGAAGGCTGTGCACTGGCCAGGACACACATACTTACAATATATAGTTCATCTTGAAAAGAGCAAAATAGGGGTTTTTGGTTTTTTCAGGTTTCTTCTTAAACTTCTCTAGGTATATTTTTACACAGAGAGCTATAATGAAAGACTACACTGAAGAACTGGATTTCAAGTTATTTAAATTGAATTCAGCTGAATTGTGTACCTGTTGAACCTTCCACCTCAGGAGTATACCTTACTGAAGGCATTTTTCCACCTAGCATTTACTAAACAGGTAACTGGGGAGGGGAGGGCAACAAGACACATGTTATTTCAGTCCTTTAAAACAGCCTTTTCCATCCAGCACACATATTTGGTTTATACTTTACCTATTTCTTCTTATCCTTCTGCTTCCTAGGTTTGCTGAAGGAAAAGGTTAAATACACTATCCAAATCCACCAAAGATAATGGCCCCCAACTCCACTTTTAGAGCCAGAACATAACCTCTCTCCAAGAACAATATGGTACAGAACACTGAAAGGGCTCTGGGGATCACAGCATACAGTCAGGCCTTCACAGGTAAGCATTTTTGGTTATATTAATTTACTTGGAATAGCAATGCAGGACGACAAAGTGTTAGCCCCTAGACTTCTCAGTGAAATTCATTAAGGCCACAAGAACTGTAAATTATCTGAGATTTTTCAGGGGACTGTGCGTTCTTATTTCCCTAACCTATAAAAATGTGGGACAATAAAATATATCTCCGTTAAGGAAGAGCTCCTATGAATCCCCTTATCCTAGACAACTATCACATGAAAGCAGCTGGCAAATTAACTGGAGAACTAGGTGAAGATGTGGAACTAGTTAAGTGATGCATTTACTAAGAATCTTGTGTTTCCACCACATGTAATGCTGGCAAGAGTATTACCAAATTCTTCTAGCAGAATTAAGCCTTCCCTTTGATAATACAAAAGCACAGTGCAAGGCTCACTCTTAAACAGAGGCACAAATTCGGTACACTAAATCAGACCTGACAGATGGTTGACAGAACTTCTGTAATGAATTAATGACTTGTTCAGGGTTTGCCAGGGAGGAAGTTACTGTTATTAGCTGCTTATTTTTTATCTTATTTAAAGTTGCCACCAACACATGACAGCAATTCAAACAACCTTTTGCCTTGAGAAGTATGAGTAATAGCTTCCATAAAACAAGCTGGCAGCTCTCATGTGAATCGTGCAGCACAGCAGAGACTGAAACATATTGGCTAGATGTTCAGCTGGTGTTGTTCAGGACAACCCCACTGACCTCATCAACTGACTGTCTTTATTCCCCATTGCGCATTTGATAAGTGGCCTATTACCATTGCAGACTATTGCTTCCTTACTAACTATACCAGTTTGGCAGAGTTTCTATGATTCACCCTCCTCCATTTACATGATTTGCCTTTCTTCCTGAAGAGTCCATCAGGAACATTATCAGATTCTACTTTAATGCAAAGATTTACTATAAAGAACATATAAATCTATATTGGAAAATGACACATTTAATGTTCTCAACAATTTTTACATTCTGTGGCCTGTATAAAAATGAGAAGACACTATCTATATTAAATGCTACTCATGCAAATGAAGAATAACACGATATATAAGCATAGCAAATCAAGCTGAGCTGCATTTTGCTCATGCAACATTACCTGGGCTGGCTTAAGCCATTCAATGACACCTACACATTTGTCACGCAGAGTACATGCATAGGTCTAATTGATTGTAAGTGACTAAGCAATTCTGCAGGTAAACAGAAGGAATGGATTCCTGCTCTGCTGGCTTTACAGCACTTTCAGGTTCAAACTCCACAGACATACAATTAGCAAGGCAACTACGATAGATGCTGTTATTTTCTTAGTCCAAAAATGGACCTGGATAGAAAGTCCCCAAATTGTCCTGGTTGTTGGTTGGTTTTTTTTTTCTTCTATTGGAATTAAAAAAACTCACCCAAACAAACAAAACACCCAAGCGAACAAAAACCACCCAAAACAAGCAAACAAACAAAACCCAAGTGAGGACATTGCTTCTGAAATGGCATTTACAAGTTTCCAATAATTGAATGCCTGTATTTGAAAAGGAAAAGCTGTCTAGCTTTTTCTCCAGTGTGATGAAAAACGTTTCACATTATGATGATGGACCCTTGAACGCTTTAAAGAACATTTTCAACAGCTTGTCCCTGGAAATGAAAATCCAAACCAGGAGTTTACATTAATTCAAAAGTGAGCAGTTTTATTACCCTCTGGCTTCAAAAGTGAGATTGGCAGATGCCTAACGTGGCACATGCTACTTTATCTGAACAATATTATTCCACTTAAAACACCATACCATAAATACCAAACACTTGGATTGTTCAGCACAGTAACTGCTGAAACCCATTCTTTGGTTGTAGGACTCAAAAGTAGTTTTTGCTTGAACAGTTCCTGTGTAATGTGGTTTTAACTCTGCACCAGTATCTGAAGCCTCAACAGTACAAATGATTAATACAGGGTAACAGCATTCAAGCAGTGAGTCAAACTGTAGTTGAGAAAGCTAAAAAGCCACACATCAGTGAGCATCCTCAGTCTCACTCACAACAGTTCCTAAAGAAGTTAAAAAACACACTAATGCAAGTCACAGTTTATACGACCACACTGCTTATATGAGATCAAAAATGGGAAGACAAATGCCTATAGAAGAAAGGAAAAGAGAACATGAGACACCTAAACCCATTTAGATCTCATGCATTGGGGTGGAGCAGAGTATTTTCTTTTCCAAAGCATAAAGACTGACTCTAAGCTCCCTACATGCCAGAACAGTAATACATGTCTGGGCAGCTTCCCTTTACCTGGGAGACTCCTAACAGAGCTATTTCACTAGTTTCAGACAACAGTCTGCTAAAATAAGTAGTCCCTGCTAAAATAAAAGACTCAGATGATGAGGCAAATCTTGTGACTTCCTCCATATAGAAAGAAATATTTCTGCCTAGTCTCTCACAAGTAGGACCTCTTGAAGGGTGCACTGTGTATTTGCTTCAAGGTCAATGTCCCCATGAGTCAATTCTGCAAGAACAGTGTTCAGATGCCTCTGTCTTCATTCAGGGTTTCTACTGTCATAGCCAGCTACTCAGGCACAATGCTGTGGTCAGCCTAGGTCAGCCTAAGTCAGGAGTGTAAAGTGACAGAAAGCACAGGCCAGAAACGGGATGTGAGCCAAGGGCAGGCCACTGTATGAGCATTACAGTCTGACTGGGAATAAACTTGGGCTGGGAATCACAAGATGATTTTTAATGGTCACAGCAGGGAGGTTGGGGAATAGCTCTTCTATAGATGAAGAATCAGGAAAAAGGCTGCTTCAGAATGCAGTTTATGAAAGGAGTTATAACACGGTTGACAACAGCAGTGGGGGATCATAGTTACTGCCCTGACAAGGCCCTTTGCAGGCCCTCACAAGCACCAAGCTTCCAGGTCAAAAGGATCCTCTACTACTCTGCAGGGAATTGAAGGCCAATATTGTTAGCAGTACCCTGTACACACAGGGACATAGCACACTCCCAAACCTTCCATGCATTAAGGTTGACCGTGGCCTGTCCAAGCCTACATTCCTACGTCAGACCTATTGTAGCTTCTATTTCAGACTCCTCTTTCTTTTTTTCCTCACCATCTAAGACAAGAATGTTTAAGAGAACTGTAAAGGCCATAGAGACTACCTAAACTACAATGAAGACTGGTAGAGACAGAACGGGATTTAGCAATCCCTGCAGGGCTTTGAAGGAGCTTTAGAATGAATCAGGTAAACTGCAGAAAACATGTATCTGTTATTAGGAGTTAGTCCTAGTACAAGTAGTCAATATAGTAGCTGATTAAGAGCAGGCATTAACTTGGTGGTTATAAAAATAGTTAAGAGCAAGAGAGAGGGACAGAAGAGTGCTGCTGTGTTGTGCCTACTGAGCTGTTTAGGATGCCCTAAAGTGTGAACAACAACCAACCAAACAGAAACATACCCAAATAAAATATATTTAAACATCTTGTATCATTTTTGTAAAGCCTTTTGAAAACAAAGAAGTAGCAAAGGAAGATTTAATGAAAAGGTATCTCGCAGATTAGCAACTGGCTTTGCAGAAATAATGCAAAGAATCAGTTTAAACTGCTATTTTCTATGTGCTGGCAAATAAACATTGCAGCTACCCAGAATTCAGGAACATTGCTAATATAGGTTCAATGAATGTCTTAAGGACCTGCAGCAAAGTGGGGATTAGAGAAGCAGAAATAGCACATCAGCATTCATTGTGTTGGGGTTTTTAACTGCTTAATTAAATAGGGGATTATTCAGTTAACTCACAGAGGACCTGAAGAGGGAGCAAAATACCATTATATTTTTCAATGAGAGTTTTTTCATTGCAGCCTCCTAAACCATCCCATTAAGAGATCAGGCATATTGCTCTCTCCCTTCAAGCAAATCACCAGAATACAGGAGACTGCCAGGATCATACACTGAGTATACGGCTTGAAGAGAACCACGCTTCCAGCCAGTCTTATCCACTTTACAGGAAGAGATACTAGGAAAGAATCATGTCAGAAAAACAAATTCCTGATTACTTTATTCATGTGTGAGATCCTCAGGAGGCCAGTCAGGACACAGTGCCCCAGAAATGCACTATTTTCTGTGCAAGTATTCAGAGTACAAAGGATACCCTCTGTACTCTGAATATATAAGGATATAAGGAAATAATGTGGACCTAAAGAAAACAATGTGAAAGGAGTCAGTGAGCTTACTTTCCATAGAAACTGGGAGGATACTCACTTTTTATCCCACCCTTACACACCGCAGAAACAATCAGACTTTTGGTTCTTAAAACAGAGACAATTAATGAATTTATTAGTACACAAAAAGAGTACAGGAGACTAGGTAAAGGAATTAGTACAAAAGTAACAAAGCAGAATAACAACAGATGAAATTTAAAAGTGAAGTATGAAGAAACATGTTTCAAAGACTGTTGAAGACAACTCAGCCACAAACGGGTTTTCAATTAGTTGTTACCTACTGGAGGAATGATTTCAAAGTAAGTGCAGAATCCTGCCTTTTGCTCTGCCTCTAGTACTATTTAGAAGAGACTGATGTTAAGCTGCAGAGAAGACAGAATATTATGTTATTTCATAATCCCTGTGTATCTTGCATTTAGTTTTGTTCAGCACATTTCAGAAGTAGCAAAAAAGGCAAAAAAAAAGTCTGGAAAAGAGAAAAAAATATTAAAAATGTGGGGTTAGTTATGCCCAAGAAAGACTTGCGAAATCTGAACTTAATTTTGGGGAAAAAACAAAACCCAAAACCAAACCAAACAAAAACCCACCACACAAACAAACAAACACCACAAGCAAACACACAAACAAAACAAAACCCAAAAAACCTATAAGCTATAACTTAGCAATGAGTACATTTACAATAGAGTTTCATCAGTCATTTGTATCATGTATCTGTGAGCTCCTGAATGCAAAAAGCTTTGGGACTTTTTGTTTGGTTGAATTGATCAGACAAAAGAAGAAACTTAGAAAGTATGCTTCAATTTACCTGTTTAGTTTTCTGCTTGGAATATGATGAAGGCAAAGATCTTAGTATTTTTATAAAAGACTTAGAGCACATCCCAGCAGCATAAGAAAAGCATCTGCTAGTAGTTTGGAATAAGTGTTCTCAGTGCTCTCAGACTTCATGCTGTACAATAATAAGCTCATCCTTGGTAGTTTCTAGTGTCTGCAAAGCATCCAGCATTGATCATTGTCACAAACAGCGCTAAATGCCTCATCTGCTCTTATATAACACCTGACACCTTCCTAAAGTCATATGTAAAAACAGGCAGACAGTGAAGCTGTGATGTTAAAGCCCGACTCTAAAACTACCAGCCCTGCAATTACAAAAAGTCTCGAAAACTTGACACAACAGGCAGCAAAAATAGTATATGATCTCTGCAGGGAAGAATCCCACCTCTTCACTGCCAGAAACATCCCATGGGTGCTATCACTTGCAGCAGTGATTTCCTCTCAGTGAAGGCAACCTATGCATCTATGAATCATGAACATGTTCTTATGGCTTAGTAAGGCTTCATATTCAACTGCTCCTCCTGCTGCTATGCACAGAACCCTCACAGCTCTGCAGAGAACTGGGTATATACTTAGAAGCATTAAGCCTGCCATAGCATACAAGTTTTAGATGGAAGAACAGAGCTAAATTTGCCAGTCTATGGCGTTATTTCTACTTACATTATAAACAGTTTCTACTTTGAAAATCCTCAGGTAAGCAAAGCTTTCATTTTTTAAGACTCTCATCTGAATAGTGAGGCCATGCAAGTGCTCTTGTTTCATGAAAGGTTCTCCAGTCTGGCCTACAGTTTAACTGTGGAGGTGTTAGAAGATTACATTAGATTAGCATACCATCATTACATAAGGAAGCCCAGCCATACAAATCTCTTTACAAAAGCAGTCTTAATTTGGAGCTTTTCTCAATTCTAAGTTGACGTTTGGAGACTAATTTGACAATATATTCATTAAAGTGGCTGCAGAAGTACTTCCTCCTCTAGGGTTTGGATTATTCGGAAGCTAATGTCCCAACTGATCATGTAATTGAGAGGACAGTATTCTTTCACTCCCACAGATACACAAAGCAAAGGTATTACCACAGTAGGTAACTGTCATCCCCTCCAAACAGGATATAGCTGAAATTCTTCTGTTTGATTCATTAGAAAGAAAAATATGTTTTTTTTTAATTTGAAAATGTGGTATGTTTGGGAATGGTTTTAAATTTAAAGAGGGAGATTTAGATTAGATATTAGGAAGAAATTCTTTACTATGAGGTGGTGAGACACTGGCACAAGTTGCCCAGTGAAGTTGTGAATGCTCCATCCCTGGCAGTGTTCAAGTCCAGGTTGGATGGGGCTTGGAGCAACCTGCTATAGTGGAAGGTGCCCCTGCCCATGACAGGGGGTTGGAACTGGATGAGCTTTAAGGTCCTTTCCAACCCAAAACATTCTGTGATTCTATGATTCCGTGCCTCCTAAAAATAGAAATTGAGGCCAGTAGAAATTACTGGTCTCATAGCGTGTTTTCTTGTCAGATGGAATCATATTCAGACAATGCCCAAGGACATTTATTATACCTCTGCTATGTTAAGCTTTCCAGTAAAAATAGCAAAGAGACTAGATTTCAAGTTAAAAACACAACAGATTTAATAAACAGATACCCTTTAATTTGTTGTTCAAGTCTTGAGCCCTTAAAGTTCTTTTCCAAAAGCAACAAAACTATGTTTTTAAGAAAAGCTGAACTTCTGGCAAATTGCTAGGTCCTGAATCTTTCAGATGTGAAAGTCCTTGTGAGTTAATTTGATTAACTTTGGCCTTGAGTCCAGAAATGGTCTTCTTTTAAATTATTATCTTGAATCACCTGTCTTTTTAGCCTACTTTCACTACAGGCACTGGCTTATAAGGATTCAGAATGAGTTTTCTGACAGTAAAATAGAAGTTGAGGCAGTCCTATCCTAGGAAAACTCTTGATACTTGCAAGTCCTTTTTTGCTATTCCCCACTTCTCTGCAAATTACCTGACGTCATGCATTTATGTTTTGTACTTGCTACTCCTCTATACTCATTCAAGAAGATGCCCCTGTTGTGTTACTTGCCTCAAACCATGATCAAAGAAGTTGTTCCCCACACTTCTATCTTATAGTGATGTCCAAGGCCTCATTATACTCTTCTGTGAGTCTACAGGTAACTAGACATCTGACAGACCACAAGCAGCTCCTAGAACAAATGATTGAGCAGGGTATTCCAGCATCTCAACACAGAAAAGACAGGCACTGAGTCAATATGCTGAGCTGGAGGTCTAAGTTGACAAAGAGTGACTCTGAACCCTGGATTGTCTTATCTATCCAGCTCCCCACCAGCCAGATGCTGGGAATGGCAGAGACCTTTTCCTACACCAGTCTTGGACACACCTCACCATAAAAGAAATGGCTGCCAAATCAATCTACATACCTGTGTCATAAATCCACAGTGTCAAATAAAGGACAAAGTACTTTGCATTTTTACACCTGGTAAATTCATTAGTAAATTTATCAGTAAGTCATGGCATTATAAAGGTTGTGTGAGTGATTCAGCCATGAAGTATTCTGGCAACCTCCCAGCTGCTAGCTCTGGCTGGATTGGCTGGTGTCTCTCTGCCTGTGCTCCCTGTCAGTTTTTTGGTGCTTATTGCAATGGTGAGCAGCATTGCCTCACCCTGGGCATAACTGGAGTCTACAGAAATATCCTGGCCATGCAATCCTCAGCCTCTCTCTTCACCTGAAACCTCTTACAGTAGGATATCCTGTCACTTTCCCCTAGTGTCAAGTAGTTGCATCCACAGCCCTACAAAACCCTCTCCAAAACCACAGCTCTGCCTTCATCTGCTAAGATCAAATCCTTCAATGGCCACTCTGCACTCTGGGGTGCAGAAAATACTTCTATATCCCACTCCCAAATATTTAATCTTCATAGAACACGCATGTGATGATGCTGCAGCAGTTCTTTTTAATTTGAGAATAGCTTTCATATTTTCAATAACAACAAATATGCATTGAATGCAATCCACATATTAAAAAACTTAAGTCATGATGTTGTCAGAGACAACTGCACAAAGCATAAATATGTTGCCACAGGATATTACTACTAACAGAGCTTAAAATAAAACCAAGACTTGCTTGATGAAAGAGTTACACAAAAAGTAGATGCTGTGCATAAATTTAGCTTTCTCTTAAGAAGGAGCCTAATACACAGTGGTACTGCAGCACCTCAGAGACTCTGCCTTTCCAGCTGTTTCAAGCAGTAGCACATTTAACCTTTCTGTCTTAGACTGTATAAAACACAGCAAACAGAAGAGATTAGAGGCACACCATTCATCAGGCATTTTTATTCACTCTTCAGTTTATAATGTTTCCATCTGTGTTCCCATTTGGATGAGCAGGTTCCTGTCTTCCATCCAAATGCCCTGTTAAAAGACATGAATAACATAAAGCCATCTGTACATTCCAAATGAACAGACTTGCACTGTTATTGTGTTGAAAAGTAACCCTCAAAGCATACGTTTGCCACTACAGAGTATTTTTGAAGGGTGCTAGCATCAAGAACTTTTCACCACCAGCCTAGAATCACTCTTTCATGTTGATAAACCAGGCTTTGAAAAGTTATGGTGAAATACACGTTTCTCTCGAACAATTTCATAGGCATAAAAGAAAAAAGAAGTGCAGGTCTTCTGGACAGCCTCAGTATAATTCAGAAACTACAATGGTGCAAATTAGTACTATCTTGTGATGAGGTAAGATTTATGACTCAGATCATAACTCAAGCTTTTTCTTAAAACCAGCTCACACTGCTGTGACTGCAGCACAAATCAGGGACTTATCAACACCAGCACAGTTAGCTGATAACTAGTAACAGCTCAAGCTTTGGCTCACTTCCCTAGAGTAAGAGGATGAAAAGAGGCCAAGGCACTCAAGCACCTAATCCCTGATGATTTCGACACAAGAAATAGGTTCTGAGGTATTTGTCAAAGACCAAACAAGAAATTTACCACATAACAGAGGAAATAAACCCAAAACACGTGCTCCTGAGTTACAGTCTAGGCCCTTAACAAGGCCATCTTCTTGTATCTGCAGTGTACCTTTTAAAGAGAAATTGCCCGCTCTTTTGCCATGTTTCCTTTCATGTTGGACTTTGCACATTTATTTTTCCTTCCTTCAGGACATGAAGCAAAAATAAATTACATAGCAGTAATTCTGACTGCAAAATAACTACTGTTCCAGCGTGTAATGGTCTGAGGTAGTAAAAAGACAAAAGCTTTTCAGGTGTAACCACAGTGAATAACTGAAGGACTAAAATATGAACCTTCTAGGCAAACCACACCAAGTCTAATGAATGTTAATACATGTAGGAAAATCACAGAGCGTTGAAAATGAGCCCTGGGTCATTTTAGTTTGTTCCAGCGATTCAAATCCACAAAGCCAGAAAAGCCCTGACTTTGAATTTAGCATTGCCTCTGGAAGTCCCACAACATACTGTGTGCCACAGGGGAAGTCATACAACACATACAGGATTCACACATATATACACTACAGATGTTTATATGTAGCAAAGAAAGGTAAAATTTCACTATTTGTCTGTCCTAACAACCACAGAATGTTTCAAGAAGTCGAATACAGAGCGTCTTGAACAACACCCTCTTTCTTGCACCTTCTATTTATAGACCAGTTCTTAGCGCTGTCTTGCTCCAGATTCACACTTAGTAAAGCCCAAACAGGCTAAAACAAGAAGTCAAGTCCTCTCCACTCAAGATACTTCTTAGTGGTGAAAACACATCTTCTAAACTAGTGTATTTTCAGATCAAGCAGAACCTCTGCTTCCACTAACAATACAGTCTGCAAACCCACAAATACATTTGTATCATTCACACCTCCATGGAAGGGTATTCCACCATGCCTGCTGGCGCTCACTCACACAGCAGACATCTGCATGGTCAGGCGTGGAAAAGCAAACAGTTTGCTTTACAGGCTGATTGTTAGTACACTGATCTTCAGTGCTGAAAGCCATTCCGCTGTCTGGAATTCAGACGCAGTTTTCAACAACAGCTTCCTGGAGAAAAATTAATGTAACATAGCTACAGTGTCCCTCCACGTGCATCAGAAAGGTTAACCATGAAGCTCAGCATGCAATGCTCAGTATGAAGCCTATCTACTTGGAAGGCAAAACCCAGCAGAAATCAAGAGAGCTACAGAAGCTTGAAGTCTGTCTTCTGTGAAGAAAGGGAAAACATTTGAACGGCTGTCAGTGCCCATCAGTCCACAGCAAATGCTTAAAGAAGCTTAAGAATTTACACTGCTATAATTTCTTAAAGCAGCTTAAAAGGCACTTTCAGCTCCTTCCTCTTAAGGATAAGAGACCGGGGTCTTATCACAGGTCTTGGTATTAGTTACATACATCTGACTCCTAGAATCATACAAGACATGGAAGCCTTACTAAATAAAATTACAGTCCTTACAATCATGGTAGAAAGTCTGAAAACGTGAGTGAAGTGCACCATGAAGGCCAAACGGGGAACAAAAGAAACAGTGAATGCCTTTAGTTTTTAAACTGGTATCTGTCCATTCAACCTCGTGATTCCAGGAGTCTGAAAGGATTTGAGATCTGAGTTGAGCAACAGCTGGAGCCATCAGATGCCCACTTAAAGCGCTTCCATTGCACACTCACTCACTCCCCATGAAGTACAGGCAGTTAGGTGTGTATCATAAGAAATTGGTTTTATTGTGGTAAGTGCACTGTTAAGAAGATTACAGACATGTGAAAGTTGAGGAGTGGATTAGCATTTTATATATACCTGGTGAAATGTTTCACAAACGTTTATGTCATGGTCAGGACACTGTGTGCACTGGAAAAAACACAAACTAGAAGTAACAATTTAATGGACATCTCTATGAATTGCCTGCAGAATTGTGCCACCCTCTGATGGGGTTTCACCCTCTCCTCATTCCCCCTTCCTTCACGTTGGCACCTGAGGTGAGGCAGCTACAGGAAGCCACTTAAACCCGCTCTAGTACAGCACAGGCGCACACAGGGAACTGAAGTATTTTAAGTGCCGGAGCGTGGGAGATGCTCGCAGTGCTACTGCCCGCAGCTGAGGCAAACAGCTCACTTCTCTTCCCCACTGGGTATGTGTCACCACACGAGGCCCTGCTACCGGGCGGGGCAGAGCTCTCCTCGGCACCCCTCAAGCGGACCCCCTCCCTCCCCTCCGCAGCTGCCACACTCAACAGGGGGGAACGGCGCCACGCCTCCCGATTACGTCACGGCCCAGGCCCCGCCCACAGCGCCGCCATGCGGCCATGCGAACCGCGCTCTGCAGCCGCAGTCCTTCCGCGGCCCCGCGCGACCTTTGCTTCGCCTACCGCTCTGCGCATGCGTCCAGAGCCCGCCCGCTCCCGCCCGCCCCATCGTCTTTCTGCGTACCAGCTTTACGTCTGACGTCATGCCGTAGGGAGTTCGCCGGTCGCAACCTACCCCGCTAGCGAGCAGCGCCGTGACGTCATTTAGTGGACGGGTGCTGTAACCAATCAGAGGCCCACAGGCCGGCACTCGATTGGTTGTCACGCCGGGAGGGGTGGGCGGAGTGCCGGCTTAGCTTGGTTGCGGCAACACCGGGTTACATAGGGGGAGTACGGCGTGTCCTTGGGCTCAGACGCCGGACGGTACCGGAGTTACCCAGGTTGCGGTCACCGCCGTGAGCGCAGCGTCAGAGAGGCGGCCGGTCAGGCAGGTGCGGGTAGTAGCTGGCGGGACAGGCCCGGGTCGGCCCCGGGCTCGACTCGATGGTCTGGGTCCGGATGCGGGCTTATACCTGGCGCGAGGCCTCAACGGAACCGTTATGTGGGAGCGGGGCGGTGGGGCAGCCGGGCGAGAGGGCTGAGGGACGGGACGGGGCGGGCGGTGCTTTCCTCTGTCCTCAGAGGTCGATTCCCGCCTGCGTGGGCCGAGGCGAGGGAGCCTGGGGCCGCGGCCTAAGGAGGCGTCCGGGGCGCGGCGCGCGGCGGAAGGTCACCGCGAGGCCCAATGGCCGCGCCGCGGGAGCCTGCGGCCGGGGCGCCGGAGGAGCGCGGTGGGAACCCGGCCTGCCTGGGCTCTGCCGGCTGGGGGTGACGCGGAGGGGCCCGCCCAGCGCGCCCTTGGGAGAGGCGGCAGCCGCCGCCCGGGTGCCGTGCCAGGGGCCCGCCGCTCGCTTGGAGGGTGCCCCGGGGCCGGGAGCTGACTTCCCGCTTCAAGGTCAGGTTCCGCGGGGTTGAGTCAGGCCGAGAGGTGCGGGTGCCCTTGGGAGCTGTCGCCGCACCACGTGCAGATAACGGCGCCGGTGGCGGGTGTTCGGGGGCATGCGGGCCCGAGGCGGGGGGAGCCGGGCGGCGTTGTGCTTGCCCCCGGCCCCTTCCGAGCAGGGGTCCCGGTGCGTTTTTTCAGCAGGAGAAACGCGTGAACGGCCTTGACCCTTTATCCAAGGTTGGTTGTGACTGGGAAACTTCCCTGTTACAGATACACAGGCTATATGTGGAAGTCGTGTTTAACGTACACTTCAGCAATTATCTCCTTGCTGTTTAAGTGCCGTGGGGCAGTTACATTGGCGGGGGGGAAGCTTTTCCTGCTCTTAAAGCATGTTTATCGCCTTGGTGCTTTTTACATAGTCTAATGAATCAGTGCTAATCTTCACACCCAGGAGCTAAAGCTTGTGGATAGAAAGTGTGCTGGAGAATTACTAGGCTGGAGGGCCATACATACCATTTTATAGACTATTAGGATGCTTTTAAAGTTCCTGTTGAATAGGTGACCTTGAAATTGCAACACTGACCTCCGTGTGTATTCTTGGTTTAGTGCTGAAAATGGGAGATATTGAGAAGGGCAAGAAGATCTTTGTCCAGAAATGTTCCCAGTGCCATACAGTTGAAAAGGGAGGCAAGCATAAGACTGGACCCAACCTGAATGGCATATTTGGACGCAAGACTGGGCAAGCTGAGGGCTTCTCTTACACGGATGCTAACAAAAATAAAGGTAAACTTAAGAGCTGCTCTTCTGAATCACTGGGGACAAAAATGCTCAATTCTTGGTGATACTTTCTGAAGCCTGACGAAAAGTGAAATAACATGGAGTACAAGAACATAAATGTTTGTGATTTTAAAGTCATTAATTATCCTTTTTTAATTCTCTCTAGGTATCACCTGGGGTGAGGATACTCTGATGGAGTATTTGGAAAATCCAAAGAAGTACATCCCAGGAACAAAAATGATTTTTGCTGGTATTAAGAAGAAGTCTGAGAGAGCAGACTTAATAGCATACCTCAAAAGTGCCACAAAGTAAAAGTTATCTGCTGCCTTATTTATTTCACAAGGGAGATGGTTATGGAAGTGTCTGTGATGAGTTTGGTTTTTAAACTTTCTATTTTTACATATACTGTGTCTAACCTTAAAATCTGTCTCGCCCATCAGATGACATGCTTATGGTGGGTCACTGAAGTACACTCTTGGCAGCCATTAACTTAATGGAAACTATGTAATTGGGTTGATTTAAATGACGATAATGTTCAGGCATTCTTGATCATAGAATTAAAAAAATGTATATAAATAAACATTTCCTGCCTCTTCATTGTTTTAAAAAAGTATATAAATAATCAAATGAACACTTGTCAACAGCATAATAGCTTTGACAAGCCCAGCTACTTCAGGGTGGTTTTTGGCATCTTCCACCATACATCTTCTGTTACATTACTTTAAAGATTACAAAAAAACCAAACCCCAAACTGAACAAAGCAACAAAAACTTTAAAAAACCCCAACAAATAAATCACCCCAAGATAATATTTTTCTAAACTTAATCAGTGCTAAGTGTTGTGGTATATATTAATCTGTCTAAAGCTTGCACTAAGAATGCATTTCATCTGACTTAAGTACTATTTGTGAAATGGCAATTGTGCCCAGCCACTTTTCTTTTATCTAGGGGAAGCATGTTACCTAATTTATCCAGGCTGACAGCTGCATGCACCAGTAGAGTACATCTCCCCTTCAGAAACAGCTACAGTTTTGAAATGTGACTGAAGCCCCTTTGTTCAGTAAATCTTCCAAAACAGCCATTCTTAGCGGAATGAGTAGAACAAGAAAGCATCGTTAGTGCTAAAGACCAAGCTGAGTGTAATTAAATCTTCTTAAACCAGCATAAATGCTCACTTAAAGTCTATTGTTACAGGCAATTTCACATGAAGGGGTGCCAGAAAAATGTGCTGGTATACTGAAGGTAAAGTCTTTATCCATGCCTGGCTGTAGCCAATGTCATTACTTCTGAAGGTTCTGTTTTGCACAGTGTAAAGTGGTATTTTTAATGTTTTAACTGCATTTTTTTTCATACCAAGTGAATTGTTCAGATGAATGTATTTACTGTGTACCGACAGTAAGACATAACTCAGAGCAATCAGTACTGTAAAATTAAAAAAATAAAAGTTGTTTGCTGTATGTGTCTGAAATTCAGTGAAAAATGGGGAATGTAGACAGAAGTTTGGGCATCTAGCTTTCCATCACTAGGAAACGAGACAAGCAGAAGCTCAGCATGAAGAGAAGTATGGAGTTGGTGTGAGTACTTAACACACATGGCAAAGCGAGAAAGTATTTTGCACTAGAATGAGCAAAGCTGAGCTCTTTCACTGGTTTTCTCTTTAACAGCACTTTTGCTGTGTTTCCTGAGTGCGACAGGGCAGAAAACTCAAAAGTAGCCTGAAAGCTGTAGCTGTGCTGTATGATTGCCTGAGTTTGAGTCATAACAATTTAGAATGTTGTGATTAATAGCTGAGGTTCAAAGGGCTGTTATGCAGAATTAACGAGTGAAAAGAATTAATGTTTCAGTGAGCAATGAAACAAGTTTCAATGATTGCTAACCGTGTGTGTTGTGATTTTCTACCTAATACACAAGCAGAGTTCTTGCAGACTTAGTATTAACCAGCAGCTCTGCTAAAGCTTGTTAAGAGATAAACTTCAAACTGTAGTAGGATACTACTGTTCCAGTTTTCAGAAGTGCCATAACACCTTTATGGCTTTGCAGAACTTAGTTTTCACTGTGCCAAGTTCCTGGTGGAGCAGTCCTCCGAATGTAACCTTGCCTGGCTCTGCAGTCCTCTGAAACGATTGGGTGGATTGCATGGAGAGAGTTGTGATGCTTTCTGCTCTGCCAGCACCTTTATGAGTTGAAAAAGGACTGTGTAATATCCAAGCTGCTCTTGCCTAGTTGAGCTGGAGAAGAAACAGGCTGTAGAGAAGAGGATTTTGCAGTAAGGTGGCATTTAATTTTGTACAGGCAACAATTTGCAAACAGGAAGTTATCCATCAGCAGAAAAACGTAGGAGAAAGCAGAGTGGCCCTTTGCCCAAAGTAAGCAGAGGACACAGTTCAGCTTGGCTTGCTCTGTCTACCTCAGAGACCTCAGTGCCAAGACTAGTGCAGCTGATACATACCACTGAAGATGGAGAAAATGGAATTCTTAAATTCTGTCCTGGGGATGCATCTTTACATTTCAGGGAAGAGACCCTTCTGACCTTCAAGATTTCATCTTAACTACAATTACAGCCCTAGACAGCAACAGCTTAAAAGATTTTTTTGTAGTAGATAGCTAGCAGCCATTTACCACTGGACAAACACAACAGTATATTCTACTCATAGGTCAGGAAGTATATTGAAATGAAAGGTTAGATTATTGCTTGTTTAGATAATAAAAGTGCCTTGGTGGGCTTTTTGGAGGGTGGGAGGGAGGTGTCCAGATTGGTTGTGAAATCAAGCTTTAGTTCTTTCTAGTTTTATAGAGAAGAAGTGCTCTTGTTTTATGAAGAAGCCCTTCAGTGTTTTTTCTTCCCTGTAGCAATACCAGTCTAGACTCTTGGCATTTCAGTAGTTCCAAATTAGGGAATCAGGATACCGTTGCCAAACATTGCACCATCCCATAAAAAGTGGTTCTTGGCTACTAGTTCACAGATCTGATGGGGCATGCCTTTAAAACTGATCTTGCAATATTTTCACATGTAGTTATGCAAATGCATAAATATGTCAATAACATAAACTCATTTAGGTTCGAAAAGACCTTTGAGGTCAAGTTAAACTGTTAACCAGCACTGCCAAGTGCACCACTAAATCATGTCCCTATGCACCACATCTGCATGTCTTAAATACCTCCAGCGATAGCAACTCCACCACTTCCCTGAGCAGCTTGTTTCAATGTTTGACAACTCTCTCTGTGAAGAATTTTTCCCTAATACCTAGTCTAAACCTCCCCTGGTGCTGCTCAAGGCCATTACCTCTTGTCCTATCACTCCACCTAGCAGCTTTCCAGCCACTTCTCCCCAAGCTTGTAGCGTTACTGGCCCCAGTACTGAGCCCTGGGGAATACCACTTGCGACCAGCCACTAATGGGATTTAACTCCATTCACCAGCACTCTTTGGAGTCAGCCAGCCAGCCAGTTTTTTACCCAGTGAAGCATATACCTGTCCAAGCCATGAACAACCAGTTTCTCCAGAACAGGAGAATGCTGTGGGAAATGGTGTTAAAAGGCTTTACTAAAGTCTAGGCAGACAACATCCACAGCCTTTCCCTTGTCAACTGAGTGGGTCACCTTATTATAGAACGAGATCTGGTCAGTTGATAATGACAGGAAAAGTAAAATTCAAAAGTACAGTTTCACAGCATGATTTCTCAAAACCAAAATGAAATAGCAGGGTATTTTTAAAAGGATGGAAGTAATTGCATCCCATTGAAATTTAGTGATACAGAAGCTCTTTTTTTTATTCAGAGTCTAATGATTCAAGTGTAATCATGCTACAAACAGTTTAATTTGGAAAAATTCCACTTGTAGCCATCTGTGCAATTGTAGATAATCACTTCAGGTAAAGATGTGTGCATTTTAATAGCTCTAATCTTGTCAGGATTACGTAATACTTTTTTTTTAATATAGTATAAATACCAAAACAGATATGATACATTATGTTTCTCATATGGGGGAGAATAGAAATTAAACAACTGTAGTTAAATAGTTAAGAACTATCAGATACTCCAGTCTCTCTATATCAAAGGTCATTGAAGTGCACACATTTACCTCTGTAGTAAGCTTTATCTTTTGCCTCTATCTAAAACACATCCTAAAAACTCTTCCAGGGCCAAAGCGACAGAAGTCTCTGTGTTACCGTGTATCAGATGAGTTGAATCGTTTCAGTGATGTCCTGAAAACCTGGTTATTCTGGGAGGTGAGCAGCCCAGAGCTAGCAGTAGTAATTGTTAACCCTAGGGAAGGATGTGAAGTCCTGTTCCTTTTCAGTGTTGCAATGGCTATCAGGTGGTCATCACCATCTCTGTGTGATTCAATACTTGCATGTTTTTTTCCATGATCTTTCTTTCGTTACGAAATGCAGGAAATAGTGATGGACAACTTTTGAATAATTGGTTTCTGGCTATAAGTGTCACAGAAGGTGAGAGATGTGGATGACATGTTTGCTTCTGTGACAAGGTACAGATCCACATCCTCAGATTTCCAGAAGGCTGCCTTAACCACCAAACTGAATGTGTGTGCTGGGAAGAAGATTATCGATACCCTCTGTTGGAGCTGTCATTTTGCAAAAGGAGACACAGAAGGAAAATGAGCAAAGGAGGAGCTAACTAGCACAGCGTTCAAAACATGTACCTTGGAGCAGGGGAGAAGGTGTATTCTTTCCAGGTTGTTTATGCATTTAATTTTAAACAGTCTTGGATAAAAATAAACCTGGCAGTAGAGAAGTCATTACTCTGGTGGTTTTATATCTCATTAATGCTGTTCACTGCAGCTTACTCAGGCAATGTGAGCCCTTGCCTTGTTCCTTTGAGAATAACCGACTCTCCAGATGCATCTTTCCCTACCTTTCCATGTGTTAAAACCTATTTTTGTATGCAAGACTATGCTGTCCCTGTTTCACCACAGTGCCAGTCTTTTGGTCAGAAGCACTCAAAAGCTCTTGATGGAAACATAGAAGAGTAGTGTTCTCATCCTTGCAATAATCTGCAGGAATTCACTGCTGACGTCCCCATTCAGTTGTGACTGAATGGTGGACTGAATTATGACCGATGACAATTTATTTTTAAGATGTCTGATGGTTATTTAATCTATGTGATATTTCCTTTTATTGATTTCTTAAATCCTAATTTTTTAACACAGCTAACTAGAGCACAGAGTTTTACATGGCTTTTACCTGCACTATGTCTCTGTTGGGATTTTTACTGCAGCACAATGATGTGAGCATTCCCTGGTGTATGGTGCTCCCAGACAAGCAGGGAAAATGCACCACATACACTGAATTTTATAAATATCATTGGTGTCACTTACATGTCACTGGTAGCCGCAAGCATCAAGTGCTCTTACCCATGTTTCATTGCAGGAATGTGCCTACACTGACTGTAACCAGTCTTTCCCTGAAAGCTTTTCTCGCATTTCTGTTCCAGTGCTGATTCATTGTTTGGAGAACAGGAATGGAAATCAGACTTCTGCATATCTCACCATGGTTTCTGTAAGACTATTTCCAATTATTCTTTAGTTTACCTGCTATTGCCATTAGATGTGGAGTTC